TATTTTATTAGTCGATTTGCCAAGACGAGAAAAGCAGTTAAACTTGAAGGGTGACTCAAACCATGCCCTTGTTCAACATATGATATCGTGACACATTTCTACAGAATCATGTATGCTAGGTTTTAGGGATTCATAAACCCTAGTCACATCGCATGACTAGGAGCGCCTCTCACGCCCGTCAGATCTCATGACATTGGTCGTTGCTTCACGCAACAATCAAGTCCCGTATGGCTTTGGACCATAGGGTTAGCCGTAAACCCTAGTCACATCGCATGACTAGGAGCGCCTCTCACGCCCATCACATCTCATGACGTTGGCCGTCGCATCTCACGACAACAATGCGTCTAACGCGCACGTCACTTCTCGTGATGACCGATGCCACTTCTCGTGACCCATCAGAAAATAAATCCAATCATCATACAATGATTCACTCGGTGTATGTCGCACATCTCACCATGCATTCAAATTATTGATTTATTCCGATTTATCCCTTTTACGTTTTGTCGTTATCCCGGCTCGTTTTTCACATAGTTTGGTCGATCCAAGGTTTATATTTCATTTCAATCTCCTGTAACCGGAAACTGCACTTGTTGAACTTTGCGTATAGACGGTGCTCTCTCAATTTATACAAAATCTTCCTCAAATGATCCTCATGTGTCTCTTGGTCCGGCGAATAGATGAGAAGGTCATCGATGAAGATGATGACGAACTCGTCTAAATATTCTATAAACACGCGGTTCATTAACTGCTTGAAGACCGCTGATGCGTTTGTGAGTCCAAAGGGCATGACTACGAACTCAGAATGTCCATATCGGGTCCGAAACGCCATTTTCTGTATGTCCTCCTCCTTGACCCGGATCTGATGACATCCCGATCGTAAGTCGATCTTCGAGAACCACTTGGCCCCCTGTAGTTGATCAAGTAGCTCATCAATCCTCGGCAGCGGGTACCGATTCTTGATTGTCACTTGGTTGAGCCCCCGGTAATCAATACGCAGATGCATACTCCCGTCTTTCTTTTTCACAAAGAGTTTCGGTGCTCCCCATGGTGAAACGCTCGGGCGTATAAACCCATTCTCTACCAACTTGTTCAGTAGCTTATTCAGCTCTGTCATTTCTGTTGGTGCCATATGGTACGGAGTCTTTGTGATTGTATCTGTGCCTGTTAGTACATCAATGATGAAGTCTACTTCCCTCTTCGGCGGTATCCCCGATAAATCATCCGGAAATACATCCGGAAATTTCCGAGCAACAGGTGTATCTTCCAAACTCTTTTCGATTCTTTAATAGCCGTGATAACCACTAAAAATGCATCGTTCCCCTTCCTGGTCATCTTTTTGGCTTTCAACTCCGAGATAATCGGGTCCGTCGATGGTGCTCCCCTTCCTTTAAATTCAAAACCTCCGGACCCTTCTTGAAACCAGATCGTCCTCTGAGGACAGTCAATATAAGCCTGGTATTTCGTCAACCTATCCATGCCCAGAATGAGGTCATAGACTCTTATGGGTACCACAATGAGTCTGCTGTCATTTGTCGGCCGCATATGTCCAGGGGTACGTCACGCAGTGTCCCTTGAACCGTAAGCGTTTCTGCTACCGGTGTACGCACTGTAAAGTTACTCGTCGGATCGACCTTTTCTGTACCGATTCTCTCCACTATATTCGTGCTCACAAAACTGTGAGTCGCCCTAGTGTCAAACAATGTATAACAAGACACCCCGTATAAGTGAAGGGTACCTGCGATATTTCTTTGTTACCTTCGTACTTTAACAGGCAATGGTTACCCTGATTCAATAATAATACTATACTGGTAGAGGTAGAAGAGTACTTGCAATCGCATTTGCCTCGACTCCGTCGATATGAACCTCCTCTTCTTGAATCTCCTGCTCCGCTTCTAGGGCATAAACCCTCGGGGCCACTCTAGCTCCAGTCGCAGGTCTCGGTGGTCTAGTCGCTTGCGCTTACGGCTCTGCGGGTCTCATCGTACAATATGCCGCATAGTGTCCTGGCTGCTGGCACCAATAGCATATAGGTGGCCCTCTCCGAATTGGCAGAGGTAATGCCTGGGTGATTGGCGCCTTACCCTTGTCTTGTACTCAGCTACTCTGACCAGTCTGACTAGTCTTCCCTGACGGACGCGTATAGGGATGACATCTAGGGGGACTTTGGTCACGAGCCCTACTTGCTCTCTCCTCCTTTTTCGCTTCCTTAGCTCTCTCCAGATGGTCAATGCAATGGCTCAGAGTTCGGAACTCGTGGAGTGCGATTCTCCAGCGGAGTGACGGTCGTAGTCCTACGACGAACTTATTGATCTTCTAGCTCTCTAGGGGAACCAGATGCGCCGAATGGTTAAGCATGCGTATGAATTCAGCTTCTTACTCCCTCACAGTCATGTTCCCTTGTTGCAGGTTCAGGAACTCATAGAGGCGACGTTCTTGATTCTGTCGGCGGTAGTACTTCCTCTCAAATTCCTCCTTGAATTCCTTCCAGGTGAAACGATGTATGTCTGGCATCTCCTGTACCACCTTCTCCCATCAATGTCGAGCTTGCCCGAAAAAGTGGTGGCTCGCTAGTAGCGCTCGATAACATCGGGGACACTGAACATATTTCAGGTCTCGTGTGATGCACGTCATCCATTCTTCTGCAGCCTCGGGATCCAGCGATCCTCCAAACCTTGGAGTGTGCATGGCCCGTAACTCCTGAACAATAGGTAGGTAGTCCCCTGCCGCTGTCGGTGCAGGTGGTGGCAGAGGCAAGTCCTCCTCCTAGGTTCCGGGCCTCGCGCTGGGGGTGGAAGTGGGAGATGTGCCATCAAGGTTTGTATCATGGTCTCCTGGAATGCGCAGAATTCATTTCGTATCTCCTCCTGAAATTCCCTAAACTCCACAACTTAAGGAACATGGTTGGAGACATTGTTGTCTCCCATCGTAGACTGAGCACATCGTGGCGCCATTACACTGCACCACGGTTAAGGTAGCATTAGCGGTGACTTCAGATAACATATCGTATGTATGGTTCTTTGCAAACAATTTTTATTGGGACATGGTTTTCGAAAACATTTTCATTGTAAAAATCTTAAGGTCACTAGTGAGGCATTCTTTCCCGTGGAAGGAACGTTGCTCTGATATCAAAAGTTATGATACCCGTATCCCGATTTCCATCACAAGATGTGCCACATGGACTAAAAGCAATAAAATATTATGAAACTACAATACATGAACTTTTTTTAAAACTGTTTTAATATTAAACACGCAGCGGACTTAAACAACAGTTAAGTCTTAAAACACATATGTCCGAATTGAAAAGGTACAATCGTACAAACATAGGAATCGTATTCCATACAAAGAAGGAAAACCCCGTACACGATGTTGTCTCTTCGAAGTCTTCGTCACGCAAACGTGTTTCTCGTACTCCTCGTGATCTGAGAAAGGTGAAACCACGAGGGCTAAGCACAATGCTTAGTGAATGACACGGAATGGATCCGGTAAACTCGTTCCCAGCGAGAACGATATTAAAACGATAAAACACAAATATATTATTCAATATTAAACATATATATATATATATATATCATATTAAAACATCATCATATCAATTCCCGTATTGCTTCACACCATCGGGCTAGCCGTAAACCCTGTCACTTCTCATGACCAGGAACGCCTCTCACGCCCGTCACATCTCATGAGGTTGGCCGTCGCATCTCACGACAATCAAGTATTTATGGCTTCGCACCATAGAGTCAGCCGTAAACCCTAGTCACATCGCATGACTATGAGCGCCTCTCACACCCGTCACATCTCATGACGTTGGCCGTTACTTCGTGCAACAATCAAGTCTCGTATGGCTTCGCACCATAGGGTTAGCCGTAAACCCTAATCACATCGCATGACTAGGAGCGTCTCTCACGCCCGTCACATCTCATGAAGTTGGCCATCGTATCTCACGATACCAATGCGCCTCACGCGTACGTCACTTCTCGTGACGACCGATGCCACTTTTCGTGATCCATCGGAAAATAAACCCAATCATCATACAATGATTCACTCGGTGTATGTCGCACATCTCACCACGCTTTCAAATTATTGATTTATTCTGATTTATCCCTTTTATGTTTTGTCGTTATTCCGGCTCATTTTTCACAGTTTGGTCGATCCAAGGTTTATATTTCATCCCAAGACTTTTTTGGCTCAATTTCATCACTTTTTAAGTCTGGACCGGTCGGTCCAGACATTCCCAGGGTCTGGACCAGTCGGTCCAGGCATTTTCGGGAGGCATTTTTAGGGTTTGGACCGATCGGTCTAGAGCCTGGACCGATCGGTCTAGAGCTTGGAGACAGATTGAGATTTCGCGATTTTATTCCACATTTCGGTCCGACTTCGTTGGCTCATAACTTACTCATTTCTTGTCCAAATTGAGCGTCGTTTGTTTCTAAATGTTCCTTTAAATTTTCTCTTTTGATTCCAATGAACAATTAATCCAATTATTACATCTATTTTCTGGGTAATGATTCGAAAGTCTCAGAGTTAGAACCAGTTCGTGTTCTTCTTTGAAATTTACAGTTTTTTTTCGATTTTCAAACTTTCATATCTTACTCGTTTCTTCACCAAATCGTGTGCCGTTTATTTCTATGTACTCCTTGAAATGTTCTCTTTTGATTCCAATAAACAATTAATACAATTATTACATCTATTTTCTGGGTAATGATTCGAAAGTCTCGGACTTTGGACCAATTCGTATTCTTCTGAAATTTATGGTTTTTCTTCAATTTTTAAACTTTCATATCTTACTCGTTTCTTTACCGAATTGTGTGCCGTTTGTTTCTATGTGTTCCTTGAAACTCCCACTTTCTAATCATGCAAGGTTTCATTGAATTAATTCCATAACAACAATGAAAATGAGCTCACACATAGGCAACTCGAACCACTCACCTTGCCCAGATTCGGATATGAGTTTTGGCCGGATTTGATGGCGTTTTCTGGTAACTACTATGGCGGCGACCCTCCTAGACCTTCTGAGGCTGGCCCTCTTTGCTCCCACGAGCTCCTTTCCCCTTCTCTCCCTCTCTTTCAAGTGTATGAAGATTTTGTTCTCGCGCTTCTCCTCGTTCAAAAGGTTCATCCTTCTTGATTGTCCTTGGGTTTAAGATGGTGTTACGCCTTGAGGCGTTCATGGTGCAATGGTAGACGCATTTGGCTCCTTGAGCACTGATGAACCGTGGAGGCACACATGTGGGATTCGTCGGACTCTTCTCGTCGTCCATGCATGAAATCTGCAATGTAGTACCAATTCCTTGATCATAGACAAGAATAAAGAGTAAAACGATGTTACCGCGTAAGCTTCTCGTATCAAGGTGGGCAAGCTTCATATATTCGCTTAAGTCGTTGAATGGCCTCTTTGGGATTTGGCCGGTAGATGTCAAAACTTTCTTTGTAACAATCCCCACTTCCTTCACATTCAGAACCTGCGAACTTCGATAAACTTCTAGGGGAACAATTTTGTTAGTGTGCTCCTTGAAATGCTCGCAAGAATATTCCTTTTGAAACTTTGCCATTATTTCTTCATGTTCCCATATATTCTCAACCAAGTATGAATCATAAACAAGAATAAAAATAGGAATAAATTTACCGGTTTTTGCTCCAAGTTCTTGACTTATGATCCAAGTACGGTTGTTGGAGGTGTCATTTATCTTTGTCGATGGGTTGATCAGGATTTTTAAATCCTCATTTCGTGTAACCACTGCTAAAGCATCTATTCTGATGCCATGTAGCTCTTCATCGACATTGATCACACTTTTGAGTACTTCATTGAGCACGAGATCGGAATCCTTAATCGTTTCTTTTTCTTTGGTTACATGTTCGGTTACCGCTTTGGATGTAACATCGGATTCATCTTCAAGGTTCCTTACATCAGCCTTGTATGTCCCGCCATCCTTGATGAGATTCTTTCGTTGGTTGGGACTATGACATGCCACGTGACATTGGTTCCTACACATGTGATACATGCCCTCACGAGTTTGATTAGTATATGAGGAAAACGTTTCGTTACCTAGTGAGGTGACTCCTTTTAGAATCACGATGGTTTCCTCCTCTCGGGTATCAAGATCGGTCGCCTTGCCTTGGTCTTTGATTTTGACAAGGTTGTTGCGTGTAGGTGTTTGTGCTCGTATGCATTCATCCTTGGCATTTTGCCGCTCTTCATTCACATTTGCCAAACTTTTGGGTTTTGTTTCCCTCACAAAGCCAGGGTTCTCGACCGTTTCTTTCTTTTCGGTCACGCTCTTGTTCTCCTTGTCGGATGGAGCTTCGAAATCTTCCTCAAGGTGTCTCCCCACAGCCATCACGATTGAGTTATATACCCCGTTATCCTTGATGCTCACCTCTCGTGTGTAGACTTCTCTTGTATATAAATGACTTTGGTTCCTACACTCCGAACACAAAACCTCACAAGTAAAATGAGTACACGAGGAAGAACTTTTGTTACCTCGTGTGTGGACTTCTCTTATATATAAGATAGTTTCGTCCTTTCGAGCATCAAGATTTTGCGCCTTGATTGGGTCTCCGGTATCGGAAAAGTTTCCGTGTATAAGCGTTGGCGTTGGCATTCGTTGGCACCCATTCTTTGACGGCTTCTTGTTCATTTGTCGCTCTACTTGAATTGCCGTATGCACAAGATGTCTCAA